GGTGAATATGATATTTGTGGTGTTACTCTGAGTGTATATCCACACCGGGCGAGCTTGAAAATTTTTTGCCCGGCCACGGTGGGATTCGAACCTACGACCTTTGGAATACTAGCCCAATGCTCTTCCAACTGAGCTACGCGGTCAGGACGGTTCGAGTAAGTGATATTTCGGAACAGAATCTAGTTCCTTCGATACCAATGTTTTCTAGTAATATGATTTTTTTTTTTTTGTGCTAGTGTAGTGTACTCAGGTGAATATGATATTTGTGGTGTTACTCTGAGTGTATATCCACACCTGAGTACACTACACCAACACAAAAAAAAAAATCATATTACTAGAAAACATTGGTATCGAAGGAACTAGATTCTGTTCCGAAATATCACTTACTCGAACCATCCTGACCGCGTAGCTCAGTTGGAAGAGCATTGGGCTAGTATTCCAAAGGTCGTAGGTTCGAATCCCACCGTGGCCGGGCATATTTTTCAAGCTCGCTCGGTGTGGATATACACTCAGAGTAACACCACAAATATCATATTCACCTGAGTACACTACACCAACACAGAAAAAAATTCATATTACTAGAATACATTGGTATCGAAGGAACTAGATTCTGTTCCGAAATATCACTTACTCGAACCGTCCTGACCGCGTAGCTCAGTTGGAAGAGCATTGGGCTAGTATTCCAAAGGTCGTAGGTTCGAATCCCACCGTGGCCGGGCAAAAAATTTTCAAGCTCGCCCGGTGTGGATATACACTCAGAGTAACACCACAAATATCATATTCACCTGAGTACACTACACCAACACAAAAAAAAACATATGACTAGAAAACATTGGTATCGAAGGAACTAGATTCTGTTCCGAAATATCACTTACTCGAACCGTCCTGACCGCGTAGCTCAGTTGGAAGAGCATTGGGCTAGTATTCCAAAGGTCGTAGGTTCGAATCCCACCGTGGCCGGGCAAATTTTTCAAGCTCGCCCGGTGTGGATATACACTCAGAGTAACACCACAAATATCATATTCACCTGAGTACACTACACCAACACAAAAAAAAACCCTGGAAATAGTTTTAAGAAATAATCTCGGCGAGATGCAGCGAAACGTGACAATGTAAGTCTGTAATACAATTTATAAAGATTTTCTTAATAGTCTTCACATATGTTATTTGAGTTTGAATCATTTGTCCTAGTTTAAGTTATGTGCCTTTATGAGTTTATGATCATTTCCCAAATTTGTTTATGCCAAATTGCTTACAAAAGAATTAAAAACTCTTGACAAAATGAAGTTGAATTTTAAAGAAAACTATTTTGTCATCATGCCATGCATAAAATAAATAAAATAATCCAGCGGGCAAGTCGTTAAATTAATTATTAATGGCTTGTGCAATTTTGGCACATTTTTCAAATATCATTTGTAGTGTTAATCATTAATTGCACTCCTTCCTGTGTAACTACCTATACTTATATAGCATTGACATTTATATTACAGTGAACTATAATTGCTGATGTTTTATGATTATTGTACATCGTGTTTGGTGCCGCCCCTACCTTTTTTATTAATACATTTCCCCCCCCCCTCCCCAATATCTCCTCCCCCCCAGCATTAATAACTAGGAGTTACTATCGCAAGGAAAGTGCTGCCGTTTGGCGACATGAACTGAATGCAAAAGAATATACTTCTAGACAATTCTCTAAAGGGAAATCTACTTTTGACCCAATGTCCTCACCTCCAGGTTTTATCAATGGTAGCATAGCAGGCCTGCACATGAACGTTATATCCCCTAAATTTCCTGCACAAATTTGTTTCTCATTCATCATTTTATGATTTAAAGACCAATCACAAACGTATTATTAAACTGTGTGCACGGAACACGAGTAAATAACCAACATGAAAATGAGGCCATTGGGTCAAAATTGGATAAACGGCATACCCATTAGCTGGTAATGCACCCTACTTTAGTATTAACTCGTCTAACCCCAGACAAATTTACACTCTGTAACGCCAGACGATTTTACTTGTCAGTGTTAGAGTACTGTCAGTATTAAAATGGGATTAACAAACCTATCTGACAATATTGTCCCTTGGCCCCCATTGGCTGGCAACGCGACCTACTTTAGTATTTACTGTGATTTATCAACGCCGGACAACTTTACTCGTGAGTGCCAGTAAACGGGTTAATTTCACGTCACACCCTAAATTTAAAATTTTTACGATTTTTATTTTTATTACTCTCGTCTTCTAAAAAACCAGTTTCTTCGGGAGTGCCTCAAGGCAGTATTTTAGGGCCAATTCTATTCCTCCTCTACGTTAATGATCTTCATGATGCTGTTGAGAACTCAAAAGTGGCTTGCTTCGCGTCAAAATTTGCGGTCAAATTTTCCTCAAATTTTCCTAAGTCGCCTTAAGTTGCCCAATGTCGTGTGATATATTGACATTTATAGTTACATTGAAATAGATACTCGTAAATAGCAAGCAAACAGGCTTAGGCATGGACCTTCGGGTTTAATAATTAACTTGAAGACTAAGACTATTATTGTACATGTGTTTGGAGTAATACAATATATAAATTTACAGTGGTGGCAGCGGTGATTCTCGCTTTAAATTGTCGGAAATGGCAGAAATAAAACAAGCCTGTTATGACGGTACGGAAGATGTAGATTTGTGGCTTATGAAAATGAAGTTCGATTTTTCTACAAAGAACTTTGAAGGTAAACAAGAAGCTCACGCCATAGCGAGTAAACTCGAGGGGGCGGCGTTTCTATGTTTTGCGAGATTAGACGATGAACTTCAAGATGACCCAAAAGAAGTTAAAGCCGCTTTAAGGAAGGAATTCGACAAAGAATCGATCGACCATGAGAAAGCTGTCGACGAATTACGAGGTTTAGGGTGAAAAGGCGGTGAAACACCAGCACAGTTAGCGTGGAGAATCGAAAAGTTGATGGCGAAGGCTTACCCGGAGTTATGCGCGTCAACACACGGATCGGCAAAGAAAACAAAGGAACAAATGTTACATGATACCTTTTTGGGAGCTATTGACAATGCAATGAGTCGAAAGATAAAGAGCGACAGTAAGCATCGAGATTTAAATTTAACACAACTTTCTGAAGAATTAGATCGGCTCGAGCTAATTTATAAAACAACAGCGCCTAAAGTAAACCTCGAAGTAAACAATTTCAAAACGACAGGGGAAGCAGACGAAATATCGTTAAGAAAGATAATCAGAGAAGAGATAGCAGCCGCCCTATCAAAAGAAAACGATGGAAGTCGGGAAACGGAGGACGAAACAAAACGTACGGTCGGGTTCGTTGGAAAGAGAAATTTCCCGCCAAAACCTAGGAGTGGAAAAACCGGTAAAAATCAAGCGTGTTTCCACTGCCAGTCGCCTGAACATTTTCGGAAAGACTGTCCATTTACAGATCTTGGTCAACGCTGCTGGCAAAAGGGCCATACAGCACCATCTTGCCATGCTCCAAGCCCTCGCCCTTCGCCGTCTTTAAACTCCAAGGCGGCTGGGAACAATCGTCAGCAAAAATAAATTCGTTCTCAGCCGCGAAGAAATTTAATACACTAACTGGTACAGTGGTTCAGTCTGGAAGCAGAGAGTTCAAGCATGAGTTTATTTGTGATTCTGGAGCAGAGGTTTCAGTTATTCCAACGGCGTTAGCACAAGAACATTACATGAAAATTCAACCAACTACACGTCACGTAGAGATGGCTAATGGGACGCACGCAGAATGCAGAGGTGTGGTTCAAACATCAGTTACGGTAGGGACAAATAGTTGTATATTGAGTTTTTTTGTGGTAAGTGGTGTTCAAAACGGGATTCTGGTCCTGGACTCTTTGTGAAAATTGGGTGTATCGTTGAACACAAGAAAAAAATTGGCAACAATAGATGGGGCCCAACCCGTGTTACAATCGGAAGTAGATATCCCTCAGGAAATGCTAAAGTGTTGCCACATACGAGTCGCGGAATGTCGTGATATTAAGCCATTTGAAGAAATATTCATTTGGGGGTAAATTGGAAGATAAGAATGAAAAATTTACTAGAGATTCGTATATCGAAGGTACGGAACATTTTCAGCAGAGAACTGGGCTTCTTACATCCCCGATAAAGATTTCGGCAGAAATGATGAACGATGAAAACAAAATCCCCATATGCGTCCTGAATACTACTGATAAATCAATCAGAGTTTATAGAGAACAAACTTCGGCCACAATTCAGGAACTGCCAAGTACCCACAACATAGCACATATTTCAGAGTCAAATATGGGGGGGGGGGAATAATCCATCATCACAATATGACCCGGTCGCAGAAGTATCAGTTGGTGAACAATTGACAACACAACAAAGAGAAAACCTAGAAGTTTTAATTCGAAAAAATACACAAGTTTTCGACTACCCAGGAAACAGTGGGTTCACCACAACAATAGAGCACACAATATACCCACAGCCGTATCTGATCCAATTGTGTGCCACCCCAGACGACACAACCTGGTGTTAACACAAAAAATTAATGAACCAGTAGGAAACCATGTAAAGTCGGGACATTTGACACCCTCTAAGTCCCCTTGGGCATTTCCAATTGTACCTGTATTGAAACCAGATAAAACAGATCGATTGTATGTAGACTACAGACCACTTAACAAAATTACCCAGAATGACCCATATCCAACTGGAAATTTGCAAGAGGTTCTAGACAATCTATCAGGTGCTAACTATTTTGGTGTTATTGACTTGGCCCAAGGTTATTTGCAGGTCCCACTGGCCAAGGAAGATCGACCAAAGACAGTGTTTCGATCACCTACTGGTTTTTGGGAATCGACAAGAATGCAATATGGTTTAAAAGGAAGTTCGGCAAATTTTTCTCGGTTGATGCAGAGGGTTCTAGGACACATTCCACCACATCGGTTGGCATTGTACATGGATGATATCTGTATTATTAGCAAAACGTTTGAGGAACATTTGGTAAATCTCCAGGGAGTATTTGATGCATTGCGACAGCATGTATTACGAGTTAAAGCTAAGAAATGTGCTTTCGCAATGAAAGAAGTGAAATTTCTTGGACACAAAGTTTGCAACAAGGGTGTGCAGCCAGAGGAACAAAAAGTAAAGGCAATTCGTGCATGGGTTGCACCAACTTGTCTTAAAGAGGTGCAAATGTTTTTGGGTGCAGTTGGGTGGTATCGGAAGTTTATCAAGGATTTTAGTACAATTGCTCGACCGTTAACATGGCTTTTGGAGAAAGATGTCACATTCACTTGGGGTAAGGAGCAAGATGATGCATTCAATACACTTAGACATGAGTTGGTTAAAGCTCCAGTATTAGCCCATCCTGACCCCACTCGACCCTTTGTTGTTACAATTACATCCGGTTGCATATTTCAGTCGTGCATTGACCAAACGAGAACGTTCATATCCAACTTATGACAGAAAAGTGATGGCTATGCGAGACACGCTTAAGCATTTTCGGTGTTATCTGTTAGGAGCACAAGTAGTGACGAGGACCAACCTCAAACCTCTTCTAAAGATCCTGGAACAGAAAGATCCATCTGGACGAAGAGCGACATTGATGAGAGATATAGCAAAATTCGAACCACGCATGGAGTTTATTTGAGGGCAGGATAATCACAGGGCAGATGCTCTTAGTCGGATCGGATGGAATGTCAAGTGGGAAGAGAGAGGCGAGGATACTAGTAAAGTGGTTACTATCGGTGGCTCTCAAGACGAGATTGGTCCATGCAAGGATGTAAGGTTGGACATAAATGATTTCCAATTGCAACAAGAACGTGATCCAACCCTTAAGCCTCATATTTCCACTCATTGTATCCTGTCGCCTATGTGCATTTGTAACACGGAACATGAAACAGTTGCCCATTATTTGTTAAGATGTCCCCGTTATGCTGCTCTTAGACATAACTTACACTCGAGTGCTGCACAAGTGTTTGGTGATAATTGGTATCTATTGTCAGATTTGCAACGAGTAAATATTCTTCTATCTGGTTCTACTAGATTGAATATTTCCGAGAACCAAACTATTTTTAAATCTGTCCAGTACTATATAAAGCAAACTGAACGTTTTTCTTAGTTCAACCTACCAATTATCGCTTTTGTCTTTTGTTGTGTGCTTTATGGAGTTTTAACTCTCACAAAATTAATGTAAATGTTGCGTGAGCCCCTTTGATGAGCTATTGCTCTTGGGCAAACGCAATTTCAATAAATATGTTTATACAAAAATTATTGTACATGTGTTCGGAGTAATACAATATTTAAATTTACAGTCGCCCAATGTCGCTGCGACTTAAGGCGACTTTTGGACCCGGAGTAGGCCTGAATTTGGTATGAAATGCGATATTTTACTTCATATAATGCGAAAGTAGGATAAACGTTTTCACAGTAAGAATATTCTGACATTGCTTGGCTACTATTTTTTAATAATCATATAGCCCGAAATTGACCATGCATGCATTTAAAACAACGTTACTACAGTTTGTGTTAATCAGCCGGCCTGCTTGGAATCTATTGAATGCTCACTGTAAAGTGTTTTTCAAATGAGTTGATTTCTATTAGGCCTGTTGGTTTAATTAATTAACTCCCTAAGTCAGCGTGAATCTTTTTTTCGTGCGACTGCAGTCGTTGACATTGTAGTGATAGTGTATATGAAAAACTATAAAGGCTGCAAGATGCGTCAGTTTTTAGAAAAAATAACAAAAAAGCACCGTTCAAATTCACGTGAGACATCAAGCCAAGTTAAATATCTATAGTTTGGTGTGTTCAAATTTATCTCAACCTAATTACTCACTGGGCAGAAAACACGGTTTTAAATACGTCCGCGCTTTGACAAAAAAGCACAAATATCGCCAAAATCGAGTTCAAAACGAATGTCTTTTCCTCAAGAATTTCATTGATAATTGAAGATTTGTGTTGTTTAGATATCGTCTTTTCTGCACAAATGAGTATCGCAGTCGCGAATCTATTGTCGTGCGGAGTATATGGAAAACTATAAAGGCTGCAAGATATCTCCGTTTTATGAAAAAAGCTATCTCCGTTTTACGTGTGACATAAAGTAAAGTTAATTTAAATGTCTTTAATATGTTGTGTTCAAATTTATCTCAACCTATCTCTTGCACAGGGCAGGAAACAAATATTTTCATCGCTCGAGTAAAATTTTTGCCCTGACATTTTTTTTCAACGAGTGTTCAGTAACAAACAACCCAAGCGGTTACATACATGTGATATAACTTATTAAATAATATTTCAAATTTTAATTAACGAAACATAATTACTTTGCATTTAAATCCCTTGTTTTCTAGTTTGCTTGTTTACATTTTTTTTTGCCATTTTGTACACGATTTTCTCAATTTTTTGAAGAAAGCGAGTCCCCCGCCCGTGTCAGCGCGTTTCCCCGCCCGTGTTTTATAGCGCCCTGGTTCGAATTAGTTTTACCAGTGAACAATCGTGGTCAATTCATTTAAGTATCAACAATTCTACATATTGAATTGCAAGGAACTTTAAGTTCGTTCTTTCTTACACTTACGCTTACATTTCATTTCGGTATTATCTAGATACTATATTCCCAATCCAGACACCCAAGGTTTGGTTTTCTCTCGAAACAAACCACAAGAGTCGGTAAAAGGCAATGAAATAACCGCGACGCCCACTAATGGTATGTATTGTACTGCGTGGTTCAATCACGGTAGGAGCCCGTCGCCGACTACTGGGAAAAACGAATATGAATATGCCGTGCAAGTAGACGCAGAACCAGTTGGTGGATCATCAAAACTACTTCTTGTTCCTGGAAACAGTTACAGCGTTATAATGAAAGCTGACACAGCGCATTTGTAAATTCCCGCAGTTACTAACAAGCCAGGCGTTGTTTATGGCTATGTTGTTTTTCCAATAATGTTTTTCCATGGTCCTCTGCTTTCCGTCCTTAACCAGACTGTAATAATGACCGAAGAAAAAACGAACCCTGCAAAGCTGCACATAAGTGTGAGTAATGCGCTGTTGAACTTACAAGAAAGAGCAGGGTCACCGTGGGGGTGTCAAGGAGGGTCCTCCTCACCCCGAACCAATTTGTTCAAAGAGCGCAAGTCAAGCTATACATGTAAATCTCCGTGATAGTGCTAAATGGTCAAGGTTGGTACATTTATACGTTGACGGTAAAGATCAGACTGGGAATAAAAATCATTATCTGGTACCAACGGGCCTTCCAAGACAGAATCCTTTGAAATTCACCAATATCAAGAACGGAGCTGATACAGAAGTGGAATTCAGTGACAATTGAGAGGCAGGTTCTTGCTAGAGAAGAACAATAATATAATATTAAACATTATAATATTATAATATTATGCAGTACGAGATACAATCAATAATAAAATGCAAGCATTAATTCAGTCAAGCATTAATGTCAATACTTACTAGTATAGAAACTAGTCCTAGAATTACATATGTTATGCAACAAACCTCCACTTTGAGATGTGATTACTTCTAAGTACTGTGTTTTATTTTGATCCGTGATCTCAAGGTATATTAACTGGACTGAAATTAAACACAATTCGAGTTCACTGCAAACGTGATCGTTTTGATTTAGGAAAGTGATTTAGGACCCATTTTATTCTGAACAATTTATACATCTGTTTGGAATAAGCTTTCATTCTTTCCGTTTTAAGCATCTAAACAAACAGATAATCTACATCATTGCTCATATTTATTATGATTCGAGCAGCTCTGTTTTGGAGCTTTTGGAGGCGTTTTGATTGTATTTCACCAAACACATCCCTGCATACTTCACAGCAATATGTAAAGTATGGGCGAACAATAGAATTATGTACAGAAACAAGCGTATCTTTCTCAAAAAATTATTTTATTTCACGAAGAGCTGATATCCCTGATGTTATATTCTTGCAAATGTTTTCATTATTATTCTTCCAAGATAAATACTGGGGCCGGTTGTATAAAAAGTGATTAAAGTTAACTATAATGAAGTGCAAACGTCATCCAATAAGAAGCCCGTATTTGAGAGTTAATCACTATTTAACTATAAAATAGTGATTAAAAAAGTGACTAAAGTTTTATACAACCGGCCCCAGGTCAACAGTCAGTCCAAGCGTTTTGCAATTGTCATGCGTCATACTCGGAAGCTACCGATGACCTCCTGAGGGATGGGTTTTATGTATATGTTGGGGCTATGTGATTATGGATTAAAGTACATTACTCTTATATCTTTATGCTTACTTACACGCATAACATGGTGTCAAGAGTGGGATAAATCGAAAAGAGGAATTATAAAGGTGCAATATACATTTATTCGCCGCCTAAACACTGGTTAGATGTTCGGAAACAAACAAAAAACCGGCGAAATCGTGCGAGCATTTCGACCGAAATTTTGAATTTTGAAAATTTGTATTTTCAAATTGCATCGCTAAAAGCAACACAACAAACGAGCAATGCCAAAGAACGAAAAACCAATATTGGACGTTCAAGCGGTTCGGACCAATGGAGATCATTTCAGACAATTGGGAAACTCGGTTTCGTGATTACTGCTTGGTCGTAGGATACAGAGATCCGACAAAAGACAGAAGAACTACTCAAACGAATGACCATTACATTGCAGCTAAGCGGCTTTTCGAAATAGCTGTACTTCGGACAGCAATACCAAGCTTAGAATGGAACACGCTTGAGGATGTAATTGCTCCAAAAATATTAGCAGATGATCAACAATAACCTTGGGTATGGCTACAGAAAATCAAGGAGCATTATGTTGGGGCGAGCGCCTTACTGCAAGACCGTTATCACTTCTGGGTGAAAATGACACAACCGCCAACAGCCCCAATAGCAATGTGGGAAACTATATAGTTCGTACGGCAGCAGGCCGCTGTCCGTTTGGAGCTCAATCTGATGAGTTCATGCGTGACAAATTTCTGTTCAATCTTAATGAATCATTCAGCCATTCTTGCGAGAATATTTTCTATAGGAATAGTCAAAGAAAGCCAGAGGACCCTCCATTCACATACCCTAGGCTTTGTTGTCACTCAAGCTTTGTCCTATGAGGCAGCACAGAACACAAGTAAAATGCTCCAACATTGGACAACTGAAGAGCAAGTCCTCCAGGAAGTAGCATCCAGGGATCTACCCAAGTTATTAGCAAGGCCGGCCATGCCGAATATGAATTTAAAGCCTTGTTGGTACTGTGACAACAAGCAAAGTCACCCTCGTGAGTTATGCCGAAAAATTGGCCACATTCCCAAAGTGTGCATGCAGGCAGCCAAGGATAGGAAGATCAAACAGGAACAAGTCAGGTTGCTCAACCAAGACCCACCTCGCCATCGTTTGGAAGAAGCAGTTCAGCATGAGCAGTGTTTTTTCATTTCAAACCAGAAGCAGCCTGGACAGATCTCAACCCGCCACGCCGCACCAGAAACCAGGCGGAAACAGTTAAGCCTAGTTCTCATTCATCGCAAACCGTCGGCGATGGGAGCTTTGCGACGTCGGCGACCGCTTGCCATTTATGAGAACACATCAAAAATTATATCGCCGATTGTCCGTAATCGTCGCCGACCATCGGCGATGACATCGCAGGAAACAAAAAAGTTTGTTTCTTGCGACCATCCCCGACTGCCACCTGCTTGAAAAATCTATGAGAAATGAGTAAAAGTTGTTTTTTCCTCTACAAGCAAGGAAATAATCAATTGAAGTTTGACAGAAATAATGAACTTTACGTTGAATGGGGCCATTTTGTAGGAAATTTGGGAAATTTCGAAACACATCGGCTGTCATCTGCGACGATCACCGATGTATGAGAACTTTCGTGCATTCGCGCTCGGCGAGTATCAGCGATAAGCGTCGCCGATCGTCAGTGACAGTTTGCGATGAATGAGAACTAGGCTTTACTTTGTACTGCTGACTCTATCAAGACCACAATCTGGCCAGCCTGATGATTCTATAAAAGTCCCTTTTCAAATTGATTCAGCTGCATCTTGTAATACCCTTCCTGCGAAGTACCAAAAGGGTTAATAAATCAGACATTCGAACCTATCAGAAATTGGGAGGTTGAAAAAATTAACTGTCATTTTTCAAAAATTTCTATTTTGCCCCAAGTGTTGGAATTTTGTGGCAACTTTAAATACTTTTGTTAAACTTTCTTTTTAAAAGGATGAATACTACTTAACTTATGTTCTTCATTGACAATGCTAAATTATACTGCTGATAAGCACACATTCATTTCTAAATAATGAAAAAGTTTCCATTTTTATTAAACTGATACTCTTAATTATAATGGCGCCAGTCATTCTGAAAAATCAGTTGGAAGTTCAAATTTAATCTAGAATATAAATCGGGATAGCAATTGGAACAACATAATAAATACCCAACTGCAGTTCATATACATATAAACATTGCAAAATTTTTAGCAGAATCAATCGAATTAATTAAGAAGGTCGAGGGTCACTTCACTCCAAAAAAGTGAATGGGATTTTTTTGATTATCAAAATTGAAAATAAACGTAGTGGGTTTGTTTGTTTGTTTGTTTGTTTGTTTGTTTGTTTGTTTGTTTGTTTGTTTGTTTGTTTGTTTGTTTGTTTGTTTGTTTGTTTGTTTGTTTGTTTGTTTGTTGTTTGTTGTTTGTTGTTTGTTGTTTGTTGTTTGTTGTTTGTTGTTTGTTGTTTGTTGTTTGTTGTTTGTTGTTTGTTGTTTGTTGTTTGTTGTTTGTTGTTTGTTGTTTGTTGTTTGTTGTTTGTTGTTTGTTGTTTGTTGTTTGTTTGTTGTTTGTTTGTTGTTTGTTTGTTTGTTTGTTTGTTTGTTTGTTGTTGTTTGTTGTTGTTTGTTGTTGTTGTTTGTTTGTTTGTTTGTTTGTTTGTTTGTTTGTCTGTCTGTTTGTTTGTCTGTCTGTCTGTCTGTCTGTCTGTCTGTCTGTCTGCTTGCTTGCTTGCTTGCTTGTTTGTTTGTTTGTTTGTTTGTTTGTTTGTTTGTTTGTTTGTTTGTTTGTTTGTTTGTTTGTTTGTTTGTTTGTTTGTTTGTTTGTTTGTTTGTTTGTTTGTTTGTTTGTTTGTTTGTTTGTTTAGATAATGAATTTATGGAACCTTTGCTCGTTTTTTCCGACTGCGTGCATGTGTAAAAAATCAATATTTTTCTATTTCTTATAGATATAAATGAATGTTTGAATCCGAACACATGTCATAATTCTGCAACATGTACCAATACTGTTGGATCATTTACATGTCAATGTAATTCTGGATATTCTGGCGATGGATTTAGTTGTGTCGGTAAGTAATACGAAAATTGAATTTCAATATAAATTTCAACACGCGCAACTACTTGAACAATTCGATATTATCCGAAAGGGAGTTTATGATTATATAGCTGTAACAAAGAACGCGCTGCCATAATTCATAGTTGGGCTTGTAGTTAAATCATTGGCAAAGCTAAGAAATAAATAAAATAAACCGCTCAAAAAAAATTCCCTATGGATTCAGAATTATGTTTTTTAAACAAAAAGTCTTTATGCTTTATTGTAAAGAGTATTATGGAAATACATAATGATTCTTTTAGTCGAAGGAGGTTGTAATTTAGTTTTTGTTTATTCATTTATTCGGTGCAGTAAACGGTTTAATAAATGTGTGTGACACTGACCACTAACGACGAGGCGTAACCATGTCTACCACTATAGTATCTGCAAGTGTACTTATACATCTCAAATTCATTAATCAAATTCATGAGTAAATTAGCCAACCATATTGCTTTATCTTGCTCACATGATAATACTGGATACCTGCTGAAATACTGTATATTCATTCTGTCCCAGGACTGGATCAAAATTAATTCAGTCCTTGGACTGGATCAGAAGTAATTAAGTATTCGTATGAGATGTCATTTCAAATCCTCCAATTCGGACTGGACTAGATTTCAAGTCCCCGCGTTTTGATCCAGTCCTCGGTTTCGCCTCGGACGTGACTTGAAATCCAATCCAGCCTTCACAGTCGGATTTGAAATATTACTTAAAATTTACAAGAAATTTAGAATATATAATTAATTTCATCGTCAACAGATATCAACCAATGTTTGACCAATCCTTGTGATCCAAATGCTTCGTGTGGGAATACTCCTGGTTCATTCACGTGCACTTGTAACTCTGGCTATGCTGGAAATGGACTTACTTGTTGGAGTAAGTAGCCAAATCACAACTCGTAAAAACACTTATAGGCCATGTGTATATAACTTTATAAATACTAATTAATTGAATAATAACTTTTGCAAGGTCCTCTGTAGCTGCGAACGTAGCTGATCTTGACAGGATGAACAGCAGTTACACTATAAGAGTTACTACTGACAACTATATTGATTTCTTGACGAGAACTCATTGTGCATGGGAACTAGCACAGAAGCTGAATTAGCACAGAAGCACACTTAAGAGAGTCTTAGTTAAGATATACATATAGAATAAACATATAGTAGGCCTATAATTAGGAAACTAATATCAGAGTTGTAAAGGTAAATTAGTCTTGTCTAAGTATAGGTAATATTAGTAAGCACAATATCTCGTGCAATGTGTCATGACAAGTGAGCTGAATAATGTGAATGTAAGTTCTCTTTCACGAATCAGCCAGAATCATGGCCACAGTTAATGCGGAGAGACTTTAATGTTGACCAGGACTTTGAAAACTTTGGAAATATATTAAATTTGAAAATAAATTGTACGCCTGGAAAATACTTAAAACATTAAGTGCATTACTTTAATGTAAAAAAATTATTTTAATTAGAATTAGTGCTTTCTGATGATAATTATATTCATGAAGAATGTCTTTGACGGGTCATGAAAAAACACGATTACTCTAGGTTAATTCAGAATTTCTTGGTGTAATGAGTTTGTTATAATTTCAGATATCAATGAATGTGTAACGTTGAGTCCTTGTAGTCCAGATGCAACTTGCCAAGACACCCCTGGTTCATTTACATGTACCTGTAACGTTGGTTTCACTGGAAATGGACTTAATTGTTCTGGTAAGTTGTTGTTTTGTTTCACATGGGAAGAAATTGACGAATCAGGAACAGCGGTAATCCCCAGTTAGTCAGAAGACATTTCCTTGGGGCTTAAGGAGATTTTAATGTTGGAGAGAAGAGCTTCATAGAGAGAAAAGTTTATTTGTTTGGTCGAAAATGCAGTAAAGTGCACGAGTGACGTAATCTTGAAGGTCTGTGCCAATGTTATAGTAGCGATGTCAAAAGACAGCTGCGTGAGAATTGAGAAGGTTACAATTTGATCAGAACTTCGACGTTTCGAGCGAAGGCTCTTCTTCAGGAAGTTAGAGTGTTGATCGGGAAAATTACATGTGTTTTTATACTAGGCAATATATAAGTGATCACGTCACAATAAATATCACCTTATTCCAGACTTGTTTGTGCGATGTTACTCAGAGTGTATATCCACACCGGGGAGGCTTGAAAAACATGCCCGGCCACGGCGGGATTCGAACCTACGACCTTTGGAATACTAGCCCAATGCTCCTCCAACTGAGCTACGCGGATCTATTCTTCTTATTCACCTTTTCTTCTTATTCACCTGAGTACATTACACCAACACAGCAGATTTCATGATTATTCCAGACTTGTTTCATATATCATTTGTAGTTTTCCGTATATTTGTATTAATATATTTTGTAATGTGATTTAAATATTTGTCTACACTTTGTTTGGACTAAATCCATCTGATTGTTTTTTTGTCACGTGCAGCATGATCGCTTTCATATTTAGTAGTTTACTAGTATAAAAGCTCTTTTCCTATCCATGCTACTAACTTCTCAACGAAGTGTCTTCGCTCGAAACATCGAAGTTCTGCTTATATTTTTCAGCTAGTTGTATCTCTCTCAATTTGCTGCAGTAACAATGAACTGTTTCAGGGCATTTAATAAATATAATCAATACGGCATGTTTTTCTTTCATGTAAGGAAATAAGACCCCTATCTTAATACAGGGTTCTTAGTATGAAGTGTTTTTAAGTTGTAATTACAAGTTACTTTTAGTTTTTGTTGGAAGTGTTCACTATTTTATCTTTACATTTCACTTTCTTTTTAGATATCAATGAATGTCTTACTACTCCTTGTGATACAAATGCTCAATGTACAAACACGCGTGGCTCTTTCTTGTGTCAATGTAACTCTGGATTTGCGGGGAATGGATTCACTTGCGTCAGTAAGTCAACATTTTCCATTTGTATCTTCATGCAGAGATGCCACGCAACCACACTTGTTCGCCATTCTTTGTTTGCAAAACGGGCGAGAAAAGCGTAATAAGAGGAGGCCAGAGTGATTTAATTAACTTAAGATACAACAGCTAACAATTTTTCACCGACACTGAACGATGCAAGGATATTCACCGGGACACGAAGCGTTAGATTCACCGACACTGACGTGAACATAACTTTTAGCATATACCATAACAAAACAAAAATGACAATAACAAAAGAATAATGAGCAAAAAACAACGAAATTAGTGTGAAAACAATTTGTATTGTTGAAAACAAAACAGTATTTACTAATTTTAGTAATTTTAGTAATTAGAAACAGTAAAAATTACTTCCACACAAACAAAACTTTGAGGCTTTCTTTGTGCTTAGCGGAACCACAGTTTCGTTTACAGTAAAGCTAAATATTTGCTCGTCTATGACCGGAACGAAACATGAAGCATTTTATTTTGCCCCAGAGGTGAATAGTGCATCCGGAGATAAGCAACCAATCAAATTGCGTTAGATACTCAGGTATTTGTCCATGGGGGGTTGCTATCAATCCCTTGAGAGACAAAACCAGTGGCGGCCATGTTGGATAAAACACGCTTTAGGCTAATTAAAATACCTGCTACCATTATGGTATCAAAGTTCCTCCAACATGGCCAGCATGACGTCACGTGCAATCCAAGAATAGGTACAGTCTAGTATAAAAGCTAGTGCCTGTCAAACGTGATTTATTACGTTTCTCAGGTCTTGAAGTGAATGC